TTAAATCACTGCACCTCGCAAATGGAATACTCAGAATATAATCAGGAAAAGAAACGTATTGTTTAAGGAATATCTAAACCAGCAGTCTCGGTACTATTTTAGGCAAATAAACATTTTAAGAAAACAAACGTAGCGTTTATTAGCACTCGGTAACCCTTGAAAAACAGGAAGCACGGCCGAAAGTAAAAGCCCCGGTGAACGTAAACGTCTATAAACCTCGTGCATTGTTTCGCTTAAAAATACTCTCGCAACGATTACGACTGTCCGTTAATGATCTATGGGAAGATAAATCGGCGGTGTTTCATAGTTCTTACGTATTTTTAACGTTCTCTTCCTGTCCGTAAATTTCCCCGACCTTACTAAAAACGAGCGTCAGTGGCGTCTCCGTGGCTGAAATTTTATCATCGAACCGAGCCGAAGTACCATCTCGTTTTCATCCTGCTGGCACAAAGGGATTTATTTCATGTTAACGTTGAATTTTATGGTACAGTAGCTACGCGATACCGGCAAACTTTTACGGCCAATGGAATCATCCATGCATTCAACGAATTGGATGCATTGGCTCGTGAAGAGCAGAATTGTCAGACGATGGACTTGCCTGTCCTTTCGAGTAATAATTGTAAATTTTCAACGGAGAAATGGAGATTCTCTAGAGAATCAATTTTGCAAATAAAAAGAGAAAAAAGTCGACGCGTGTAAATTCGTCGTTTTCACAATTAGGCAGATAGAGAGAGAGAGAGAGCAATTGCGGTGCTCTGTGATTAAAGTACACTTATATCCGATCGCAGAGGCGTAAGAGTAGCGCGCTGTTATTATTCAATAATCAAGAGCTATAAATAGATATTAAACGTAAATGGAAAATCACGGTGGAGGGAAAAAACGCGAGATTTATGGTGAAAATGTCGATATAATTCCTGAAGAAATGAAACCATTAAGGGTGCGGTGGTCGGTCTTTTCATTCCCACGACATACGCCCTTCGTAATGAACACTCCTCTCCGTGAATAAATAAGGTTGCGTACGGTTACACGTGATTTTGCATATTCTCCTTCTCAACGATTAGCGCTCCGCCGCTTCGAAGCTATTACCGATTATTCATGCCGTACCACGGGAGTTTTCTTAATTTCCTGGTTATTACGTAGCGATCAGGCGTTTTTGTGATTTTCCAGCGGACATAATCCGTCATATCGGTAGATTGAAAGACACTTTCCTTTAACAAATAACCGAATCTAATGTGTACACGTAAAAACGATATTCCCCTGGTTTGCACATCATCAATATTGTTTAGATAACACTTGTCTCGATTTGTCTCTTCAATTATTACGCAAACGTTTCACAAACTGCGCTGCCGCCACTTTTACTATTTTTCTAATCACTTGCTTCGTATAGTTTCATCGTTGACACTTTGCTTCCGTTCGTCAATTCTTCGCGTGCTTTTTCAAATTTTATTTAAATTTTCTCAAATGCTAGAATTTCCTTTTTCTCCCATTCCTTAAAAATCTGCTTTAACTTGTACGCTGGAAAGTTTACGCGAAGCTTTGTTTGTTCATAAGAACCAGCAATTTTTCTTTCTCGCTTTTCTCCGCCGTTCCTCGAGCGTTCAAAGAACCACGCCAGCTTGACTTTTTCCCTGGCTCGCAAAAATCAACAGCCTTGAAATGCTTTCAGCTGATCGCGAAAGCTGTGGTTGCGTCCGAAATAGAACGTTCCCAACGGATGCACCACGCAAACATAGCCGCTCTGCAATAATATTTGCTCGACGAGCGATATGTGCGGGTCTAGCGAAACGAGGACCGGAAGAAATATATCGGTGTACGAAAAGGCGTTTCTCTACGGAAGCTTTGTAACATGCAAACACATTTTCCCCAAAAAATCGTCGTCGAGATAAAAAGAAAAAATCAAACTTAGAAATATTTCCGCTTCCATAATTAAGCGAGATAAACTTGAAAATAGAGAATTCAAATTACGCAACTATTGCGTCGTCAGATTCTAATTAAGACGTATCGTTAGCTTATCGCTAAAGAACAACCGCGACGTCCGCGAAGTGCAGCTGGAAGTGAAGTGTCCACAACTATTGAAGAAAAATGCGAATGGAAAATATTCCCTGACATATCGCAAACAACATTACTCTCGATTTATTTTTCTCCAGCTTTATCATTATTGACCGACTGTTACAAACGTGATGCAACAAAATACTCGTTACAATCGTCCCTCTATTAATTACCGTTTCTACATACTGCGTCGCGGAAAAACGTCGTAAATTAATCAGTTCATTAGCGGCTGCAGTCGAGTCCTCCAGCTTCTCGTCCCGTTTCGATAAAACGGTCACTCGCGTTGCTCGATTTTCCTAGATCTCGAGCGAATCTTCAATATCGCTTTACGCCTGTCGAGGTTGGGATCTGAACCAGTTTTACGCCAACTCTCGCGTTCTTCCCTTTTCCCTCGCTCGGTTTTTCATCTGTTCCACGGGAATTCTATAACGAGGATCATTTCCCTGTGTTGATCTTCGTCTGGTTTCATGTTATCTGAACGAGAAGTTGAAACATTATTTTACAAAGTATCGTAAGTATTGTAATTTAAATTCTCTCGTGTATCTCTCGTGGTCGTCTGTTTTCTTTCTTTACCTCGTCAATTTTCTTGCCCGTGTACGATTAACTAGATTACCATCCCTTAGATTTCACGCAGCCACCAATCTCGTTAACGATCTGTCAATTCTTCTATCGATTTTATAGACGCGATCGCTCTTCTGTCTTCCGGTCTCCTTTCATTATCTGCTTTCGTGCGTTCTCTCGGGGTTTGCCTTTGTGCCAAGCCTTTTTTTCTCTATTGTAGAGAGAGTCCTCTTTCAATTTCTATTGTTCCCTCGCCTCGATATTTTTCCCTCTTCCGAGTTTTGTCTCCGAGCCTGCAATTGCTCGGTTTTTCTTCAAGACTAATTGCTCCTTTTGTCGTGTCCCTTTTCAAGAAATTTCTCCCCCTCGTTGCGCCCAGTTCCTTTCAATTTCGCCCCGGGGAGACTGGAGGAGGATGTTGAGAAGAATGTCTCGATCAAACACTGTGCGTCTCAAAGATAGCCAGGGGATAATTTTCTTCGGTAGAAGACGCTGCGACGTAGTGTTAATTGCATTTATTTTACCTAATACTGTGTAGAATATGCTTATTCCACTCACTACATATCACACACACATACACAAACGTAAAAAACACTTAAATTTCCATAATACAGTATATAACAAAATCTCTCAAATTCTAAGTTCAATAATTCCTTATCTTAGAATAGAAGGCGGTGAGAAGAACAACATACCTTCACAAGTTACCCTGATCTCTCAATTAAAGAAAAAAGAAAAGTGAAATACGTAAGGAACTTTGATTGCACACCGCACGTTTTCCAAAACAACACTCAAAAATTGTCATTCGCCAAATAATTACAAAACCCCTATTCCTCTCAGAGCCTCTATCCTCGCTCCTGCGTCAACTTTGTTCCATTGGTCTTACCGTGAAATCAGATAGCATTCAGAAAGTCTCGCGGTGGCGTTTCTCGATTCCGCGACGCTCCCGCCACCGTGAGACGTTCGTTTCCCGTTAGTTCGTCAGTTAATAAGATTTCCTGTTGATCGGTTGCAGGGACGAGGCGTAGGATGGGCCCGACCGTGCGAGCAGTCGTGCTACACTGAAGAGGAGGAGTTCCCTTGAAGAAGAGAGAGAAGGAGGAAGGAACGAAGGATGCCTGCCTCGCAGACCGCCGCCACGGAGCGGCGAAACGATAGGATGGTGAGTATCCTTTCTGCGCCTGTCGTTTCCGCAGGAAGAGACAGACAGGCGGGAGACGTTGGGGGATGGACCCGATGAATGCTTTAGGAAATTGTGCCCCGTTTCTTCTTCAGTTTCTTGATAGGAAGTTGGAGATTTAACGGACAACGTATATAAGTAGACTATGAATGGATACGTTCGAGAGGTCTCGTTTTCCAGGCATTTTGTGGAATTGAGAGATGCTATTCGGTGGAGGAATATCGAATAGAGAGTTTCCGGTGAATCGTAACGCAACTGACAAGAATGTGATTCCTTGTGAAAAGGATAAGTAAAAATTGTGGAATAATTTTTTTGTTTTTGGAGGAAAATGGTTTTGAATATGTACAAAAGTGCATTTATTAATATTATGATGTGATTCCTTATAAGGAAACGCAAGTAAAAATTGTGGAATACAGTTTTTCGACTTTTTGCTTAGGATTTTGCTTGAGAAAAATGATTGTGAATTTGAAAGTACCACTGATTGATAGTTGAAATTATACTATGAAATATTATTTAACATTGATATTGTAGTGTAGAAATTAATAAACTTTATGAATGACAGTGCTGAATGAGGTTTATAGAGCGATTGAAAAATGCTCGAACGAATGAATGGAGTGCATACTTATTTAGGTTTAGGTATTGGGTTACACATAGGGTGTGAAGATTTTGACAAATTGCACACTACCTATACTAAAAGTAATTGCTTCACGTTGTTTTGTAAAATAGATTAACTTAACTTAAACCCGCTCAAAGTTATTTTTCTCAGAAACTAGGCAAGCAATCAAAAAACTTTATCCCACGTTTTCCACTTTTTATCACCTCCTTATCAGTTTCATGAAACACCTGCTATGCGGTAAAATTAAAAGTTAAAATTGATCCGCGAGTTATTGGTTCGGCGTTTTTTTTCCTTTTCACATACTGTGCGGATTATATGGCTATCAGCTCGGCGTATCTTTATTAAGAGCGATAAAAACGAGATTAGAAAGAATAGAAGCGTCATTTTATAGACTGTTCTTTACGATCCACAGGAGAAAATATTCTTGTCTTCGAGAGAAATTACCGACGAGTTCGAAATTTAAATAGAAGACAACGACAAGTGGTTTCTGAATGGAACGACCAATTACGACACTTCTGCGCATTTTGGCTGAGTTGCGAGAAGAATAGCGCGCGAGTTAAACGCGAGTAATTAAAAGGACGTCGCTGGTAACGCTTTCAACAGGTTCGCAGCGCATGAAAGAGTTAAAGGGACAAAGGAACGCAATTTTCCAACTGCCTCGCTCGACAATCGTCGCTAACTACCGCGCAGCGATTCGTTCGACAATGTTCATTTTTGAAAGCCTTAATACCATAGGAGCGTGATTCCGCTTCCGGTTGACCGACGATGCCGTAACAAACCTTTTTGCTTCACTATCGATTACTTTTTTCCTATACACGCTCTACGTTCTTATTTTTATCTCCATGCTTATCTTTCTCATGTTCCTCCCCTCTTTTGTGATCATTTCTTTCAGCTTGTAATTTTTCAAAAAAATCCTTTTAATTAAATTGTAGCACAAAGGTTTCGTTGTAATTATTAATTATTCAAATTACGTCGCATGAACGACACGGCTACTTGAGTTCTCTTCTTTTTATAAATTGACTGCAACGATATGGCCACTTGCGTCTTTGTTCCATCACAGCACTTTCTCCCCTTTCAGTAATCAATGACTCGTTTTGACCCACTCTTTCTTAAGTGATCCTCGAAACGATGACTGATCGTTACACTCCATAAGAGCTGCACCCTCGACGTTGTTCCCATGGCGAGCAGGTTCGAGACGTGTTCGTCGATTAAATTGGATGTAAAATTGCCTTTCTCGTGAATTGTTCTTTCGAAAGAAACGCTACTGCTGCTTACAGTAGTCATTAAGAAAATTACAGAACAACGTGCTTAATATGTGACTCATCTGTTATTTCAGATCACACACGAGCCGCCAAAATTAAAGACGACCCTAAAAACGCCTCCTAAGCAAGCGACTAATCCTCTTCAGTTCGTCAAAGTTGGACCGTGCTCTTTGTATCGTACAGCTCAAGAGCAGCTGCAAAAGGTCCAGGAAGTAAAGAAAATAAAGCAAGAAGTTCGCGATGACCCCGAAGATTGGCAATCGGTAAGACAATTAACAAAATTCTACTTGGAAAATTTCAGTAAAAGGAAAGACAATAAAAATTCCTATTTGAAGAAATTTAGAAAATATGTAGAATTCTATTTTTGCATAAATCACAGTAAAGTAAGAAAATGTTAAAAAAATTTCTCCCAACTATGCTTGCTTCCATGCGTTCCAAGTGCTAAACCGTCGGTTTTGTCGTGCATTCAGAATCTGGACAACTGGAAGAGTAGTCGAAGGAAGCGTCAAGAGCACATCATCGAGCGGGTGGTCGAGGTGAAGAAACTCGAGCTGGAGGAACACGATCGGCAGCGTCGTCGAAGCAAGACTTTCTCGGAAATGATGGAAGAGAGGGGCAATAGGGGTCGGAAACTGAGCATCAGCTTGGCCATGTACCACGAGGAAGATGCCAATGACCTGAGTGACCTTGGTATAGGCACCAGCAGCGGAAAGAGCTCGGTTAGCGGCGACACACACGATGACACACACAGTGTTTTGGTAAGATTAACGAGATTACCGGTACATACTCTTCCGCGTCTCACGTTCCTTGTAAAATATCTCTTTAAAATTGCACGACGAATGGTTAACAATATCGTCTCGATCGTGATTATGCCCCTGTAACGTAGAAGCTTAATATGCACACTCTTGAGACTCGTTCGTCCTCTTCGAAACTCTTTCTATCAAACTTGTTCCGTATTCACGAACGGTTTCAACCATTTAAATAAATAAATAAATAAGCAAGCATTATCATCGTACGATCGTTTGCAGAGCGACAGAGACAGCGAGATCGAGAAGAATCACTCGGACGTGGACAACGTGCCAAGCGAGAGCGTGATCGGCAACGATATCACGACATCGTCGTCGACCACGACGGCAACAACGACAACGACGACGAAGAAACCGTTCGGGAATGGCTTTCACAGCAACCATAGTCACAACAACAACAACCAGGAGTACGATTCCGCGACAACAGCGACTACCAGCTCCCCAGAACCAGAGGAATACACGTACGAGGGTGCGATTCGTGGTTACGTGTCGCGAGTGTCGCAGAACATACCCAGGCGATCATTGGCCAGTCTGGACGCGAAGCTCGAGAACGCGAAATCGTCGACGAACGGCTCTAAAACAGGCCTGAACGAGGACGCCAAGTCCACTATACCGGTAGTCAAGGTCGACATCCTGAAGAGGCGAGAGATCTTCGAGAAAGCGTCGCAGAAGAGCAACGAGAGTAAACTGAACAACAGGCTCTCCGGCGATTTCACCGGAACGAAATCGATCAAGGAACGGCTCTCGAATCTGGAGAAGCAGAAGCACGAAGCGGAGAGCACAGAGAAGAGCGGCAAAGCGTTGAACAGATTGTCCGGCGACATGAGCACGATCCGCGAGAGATTATCTCATCTGGAGAAACAGGCGTCTGAACGGGAGAGCAAGAATTCTTCCTCTCATCGTAAGCTGAGCACCGAGGAACTAGAGACAGTCAGACCGCTACGTGAAAGATTGTCTACTCTGGAAAAATACAGCAGCAGCGACGAGTCATCCGCGCCACCTGGCACAGCTCACGAATCCCGACACAATGGCGAATTGTCCGCCAGAACGATAAAGGATCGTTTGAGCGCTCTGGACGCGGCTAGGAGCAAAGAGTCGGCGGAGAAGAGATCGTCCGTGGGCAAGCATTCGTTGTGCTTCCGGGATCAGGAGAACAGAATCGACACCTCGACTCCTAGCGAGAGAAGCTCGTCGCCTGATTCGGAGTATCGCGTGCCAAGAGCCGCCTTCCATAGAAGCCTGGATTCTCTGGACGCAGACGCTTCTAGCGGTCCTGACACGTTCGAACGCGTGCAAAGCTTGGAGGAGCTCGATTACGGCAGACGTTATCCGGCATCTTCGTCGTCCGCCGAACTCTTGAACGATACAGATCGCGAGGATTCAGGGATTCACACCGCTGACGTCAGCTGTTCGGTGAGCCAAGCTGACGAGCCGGTAGACGAGGATATCGTGCACGCTAGTACGATCATAGAGAGGCAAGAGGTGATCGAGGAGAAACCGGAGGAACCTCGCGAGGTTCAGACACCGAACGAGATTGTCGCTGAACAGAGCATCGCTGTATCCGTGAACGAGATCTCGACGACTTCTGCCAGTCAACCGGAAGCAGTAGTAGCAAAGAAGGTAAGGCGTTACGATGGTGTTGCATGCCAACTGGATATATATACTTTTAGTTGTCGTTATACCGACTTGGCTGGCGTATGTAAAAGTGAGTCTATTGAATGGGGTATTATCTAAGTTGAGTTGCTTGTCAATCGCGGGATCTTTTTTCTACTTATGTGTCATTGTAACTTGGTAATTAGAGATCAATTATTCGGGTCGGTTTAGTTCGTGAAAGGACACAGTCGTCAAATAACGTGTTAATTGTCCGTTTCTTTGATCTACGAAGCTGAGTCGATAAATAAGTCACGCTATCCTTGTAAAAATAATACGAACGAACGAAAAGAATGTCTTTTATGTAAACTGACAACCAGCTACTACTTCTTAACATAGTCGCCGAGTGTCTGTGAACACTTGTCGTAACGAGGAACCAGTTTACGAATTGTGGTTTCAAAAAATTTCCGTCCAATTTGCCGTAACTATTTTAAGATTGCTTCCGTCAGTTCGCCGTCCGTGTAGAAGTGCTTTCCAGCCGAATATTTTTTCATTTGGTCAAACATACGAAAGTTAGCGGGGTGGTGTAACTTATTTATTCGCTCACCCTCGTATAATATAGCGGGAAAAATTCAAGCTTCAAATCATTCATACAATCATGATCTATAATCCTTCATTGCTGTTAAAGTGAATTAAAAAGATGTGTTACTTTACGACTGCAGCTCGAACATTATGTTGTAACAACCGCAATTTTCAATCATAACCTATTCATGTTGTTTTGGTTACGGGACGGCAGGTAGTACGATCTATCCAATAACTCTTTGGTTCTCTAGGGTACTGCTGACACTTCTGGGGAACTGTCGACTAACAAATCACAATCGCAGGCACACATAGAGGTTACTAACTCTAGTACACTCCGTTCCTGTCCTGCTACGAGTCGCCCGATCGTTTATCAAAGTCCCAAAGTACCTCCGCGGCGAACACCTCCCGAAACGCTTCCCAAACCGAAGTTACCTGTCTCCAAAGAGCACGTCACCGAGACCAAGGTAGATTCTCCGCCCGTTAAAGAGTCGAGCTCCGTTACATCGAGCACGAAACTTTTCACGAACGAGCAAGAATGTAAATTCGGCGTTGACGAGAAGAGCTTCTCGAAGGAAGACTCGACCAAAGTAACAAGCTCGTCGACAACGTCGTTGGACTCTGCCGTCGTAGTAGACAGTTGTCCTCTGTCACCTGCCAGGACGGCGGCAGTTCCAACGAACCTTCCGTTAGAGTCAAACGCTACCTCAGCCTCGAACAGTCCCTCGAAAACCACACCGGTCGCGTCACCGCGGGCTGCATCGAAGATTCCCACTCCTCTTCCTCGAAAGGCAATAGGCGCGAAATCCTCACCGACCAGTTCTACATCATCTCTGAGCCCGCCTATCTCACCGTCCTCCCCAAAAACTCTGTCGCTGAAAGCGAGAACGTCGAACGTTAAGAGTCCAACCAGTCCGATGTCTATGCCGCAATTCCCGAAAGCTTCAGAGATCCCGGTCCCGGTCTGTTCAAACGTCACGTCTAGCTCGAACGTCCCCAGTTCACCCTCCTCGAATCTGGAACAATCGCCCCTGGCTTCGCCTGTCGCCAAGCACCCCACCTCCCCCTTGTCAAGCACAAAACACCAGGCGACAGTGGCCGAAGAGACACTGCATGCAGAAAGACGCCGCACGGTGGTGGAAATTTGCGAAAAGGTGGTGGTACCTCAGGGCAAGACACCTACGACACCTCCAGTGACGCCGTTCATCACCGTGGATCGCGTGAATGAGAAGCAGAGCTCAGCGACCGAGGTTAGGATCGATCAGCAATCTAGCAGCCCCCCGAGGAAGTCTTAAAGGGAGGGAAGCGAGAATCGTTCGTCTCTTTGGCTATCCTCGTGTGTAGCACATTGTCTCTCGCCCCATTTGTTAGACCCAGCTTCGTCTAACTTCCATTTAGATCTTGTACATAAGAATGGGCTTCGGAGGATCGGGCGTCTAAGTGGTGGGAATTGCTACTCGATTCGAACTAATCGAGAGGTAGAGAGAGATTTCTCTCTCGACGAGCTTATGATATATCGTACAACTACCTGAACAATTCCATTATCGTGCCACCGATCATCGTCTCGACTGTGTTCAACCGTCGGTCATCCATCGAGCGATCGTTCGAAAACGAACACCGCGGTATCGTCGTTTCCGACTAAATCCCGGAAAATCGTTCTCGCGTTTAGAATCTGTCGGGAAACTAAATCCCGCCACTTACGACTCCCGGATAATATAACCCGTCTTCGCCTATCGCTTCCACACGTATTTATTATCCGCCATTACGCACAAATCTCGCTGGAAACGAAGGCGCGAGACCCCATATAGCTAAAACGATGTAAATAGACGACGCAGGAGCAAAACGTACATAATAACCCCCCCGCCTCCCAGTATCGAGTAGAATTAGATCAGGTAGCCGGAGGTAAACGATGTAACAGTTGGATACGGAAGTTGATTTTTGTCGCGGTGAATAATTGTGTAGTGTGGCCTAAAAGAACGAACAGGGAATAGATCATCTGGACCTAAAACCGATGCCTAATGCGATCGATCGGTGCCTCGCGCAAAATACAAATCGTAAGATATTTTGATAAGAAAATTCGTGAACGAGAACGTTATCGGCGATATTCTTTAAACGCACTCGAGCCAACGAAAACGAACGAATAAGTAGAGGGCCATCGGATAGGAAAGAATTATCGCGATTATATATATATGTGTATCATCGTACTATTGGAATACTCTTGGAGCGTAAGACTTCGTTTTAGATTAACTTGTAACCGATCTTAGCACGACCTGTCGACACTTGACGCGCACTAGCGGATAACAATCGATTGTAGCGTTTGGGGGAGGCGTATGTGGTTAATGAAATATAAAATTCAGTGGGCAGAGAAATTTGTCGTGTCCTGTTTCCATCGTAACCGCGGACAGCATTCAGTTGTTTCCCTTTTGGGAAAAACGGGATTTCGAAGCACGATTGAATCGAAGTCGCTGAAAAATACGGCAAGCTTTTTATCGACTTTTTCGAATTATTTATTTTCTGTGCTCCGCGTACGATGAAAGTTTGGAAAGTTGTTCACGGTTCACTTTTGCTTCGAAAAAGGAAAAGAAAAGAATCCCGAACGAACGCACGAGTAACAAACCCATCGATAATCATTGTCGAATGCCTTCAATTAAATATATATATGAACGATACGCTACCGAGAATCGATATCGAATTTAAGATTTTAACACATCGATCACACACTCTCTCTCTACCATTGTCTTCGTCGCCCCGAATTGTTCGAAATGACAGATGGAAATTCTGCTATACGTATATTCGAAACGTCTGAATCGTAAATAAAGGGGAAACAGTATAAATTTTCAAACTGTCTTCCGCTGATTTTGCTTTCACGTAACAACCCAGGATCGTAACGGAAAACAAGCTTCGATTCGTTCTCGACGAGTTTCGACGTAAAAACGGGGAAATCCTCGAGAATCGTTTTGTATTCAACGTCCAGTTGCAATCCAGCGATGAACGCGTTCAAAGTGTCGTCCTCGTGAACTCGTGGATCGGAGGTCGGTCAAAGTGACGTTTAATTATTACGAAAGACTCTCGTAATTGACCCACGCCACGATAAGTGTCCTGAATTGTCGCGATTAATCAGTCGGTCATCTCGAGTCATCGCGTTTCTTCCTCCGTGAGCGTTGCATTGAACGAGGTAAGAACACCGTGTGATATTTGACCTGATGAAATGAATTTTTTCTTTTTTGATCCTTGGAAAAGTTTTTTTTTTTTTTGATAAAGTGTCTCTAATTGGCTTGGCACCCCGCATAATTTCCCCCAGTTATTAACCATGATCGAAACCGTCGTTGGCTTGCATCGGTAACAGAATAATCGAAGCCTTTTTTCCTTCGTATCGAAGAATTGTTATTTTTCCCGCCTTTTTTTTTTTTGGTTGTCATTTTTTCACCTTCGATCGATCGTTGGAAAACTGTAATTTCTAAGGAATTTGAAGGATATACATTTTGCTTGTTTCCATGGTCGAGAAAATCGATTCTACCATATTGGTAGAAATTCGTTCCATCCTTTACTAAAGCTAGTCCATCGTAGCAGCGTCAACAGAATCATCGTGCAATATCGAGCGAGTGTCCTAAATATCTAAGCTCCGCTACTCTAAAGAGGTAAGACGGCGCTTTTGATTGCTCGAGCTAGCGATAAACCCTGAATCATGTTTTCTCCGCCCCACCTACAACTGGTTACATTAATTATCCTGCTTATCGCTAGTATTGGTATTTGCTTCCGACCCGTGACTATGCATGGCTCCAGCTTCGTTGATTTTATCAGTTCCCTAGTTTCTCGCCGATCTTCTTCTTCTTCTTATCACTGCACATGTACATACCTTGTTTCTTTTTTCTCAGAATCTTGTATACTTTTATAAATATTTTTTTTCATTGAAGAATTGTTATCGATTGTTTACACATTTACGTGGAATTTATGCAATTCAATCGCCTCGACACTTAGCCGAATACATTATTATCACACTTAATTTTAACCGAGATGCACAAAAATTCAATGTGAACACTTTCGAAATGCTTTCTTCCAAACGATTTTCTTCACAGTTCCTCTCATTTCTTACTGTATCTGGCCGCTACGAAATAACGATTAAGCGAAGGATGAAATGTTGGTAATCAAATTGTCAGGTTATTATTAGAGTTTCCTCTCGAATAATACAACTGTTAAGCTTCTCGAGGCATTGCAAGTCCGTCGATCTTTGCACTTTGAAATAATTATCTGTTTGGCACCGTTCCAAATGGAAACTGATACAGTCGTAAATCGGTAGTTTCACGTGATAAAACCTTTATCGTGACATCCGTTTCACAGTGAACTCGAGCAGATGCTTTTGCAACCTACGCGTTGTTTTCGCGCGTTTATAAATATCGATTAGGGAAAAAACCTATCGAGGGTTTACGACTCTGTCGCGAGGAAGAGACCAGTGGAATTAGTATGATCGATTGGAAACTTCTCGACAGCTCGAAC